TTCTTGTCTCCCATCTAATTAGTTCAGCGGCTCACATGTTTATCTCCATTCCTTCTCTTTGTTCTTTCCAACCCATTCTTCAGAATATTTCAAAATAAACACTCCTGGTCATATCACAACTCCACACTCAATATGTTTGATTGATTCCCTGTTACAGAAAAAAAAAAACACCCCAACTTCTTCTCTGATTTTCAAGTCTTCCCACAGTATGATTCCAACATACCTTATCTCACTCTGCTCCTGACAAGTACTCACTTCTGCTTAGGAACTCGTTTACTCATTATTTTTCAAATAAATATCCCACTTTCCTATCTACACCTTTACTCATAGTTTTCCTTTCCCCAGTAATGCATTCTATCTTGACCTGCCAAGGGTTAGCTAATAATTATAATTATAATTATAATAACAATAATTCACATTTTCATAGTTCTTAAAGGTTTGCAAAAACTTTTCCTTCAATAATCCTATAAACTAAGCAGTACAAGTACTATGCTCCACATTTTCAGATAGGGTAAACTGAGGAATTGAAACATTACATGACTTGCCAGTTATTATAGAACCAAGAAGTGGGATTTTAAACCCAGGTCTCCTAATTCTAAGTGCTCTAACAATTGTAGCATGGTGCCTCACATGCCCCTGACTTAATAAAGTCTCCTTGAACCATTTGAATGATTTCAATTTTTCTCTCTTCTTAACCAAAGTAGGTGTGATTTTTTAACCTCTCTTTTGAAGTTTAAGATGTTCTGCCTTTATATTATTAGTCATTTGTATATTTATTTTATTCCTTTATAGAAATAATGAGGTAGCATTCATTTAAAACATTAAAATCTGCAAAACATTTGACATATAATGATAATAGCCAGTATTCATACACAATTTTAAGGTTTACAAAGTCTTTGAAATTTGTTATCTTATTTGATTTTCACAATAACCCTGGGAGGTAGATACTATCATTACCCCCATTTTACATAGAAGAAAATGGAAGATGACAAATTTAGGGTGACTCGCCTATCAACCTGTTGTTCAGTTGTTTCAGTCATTTCCGACTCTTCATGACCCCATTTGGAATTTTCTTGGCAAAGATACTGGAGTGATTTGCCATTTTCTTCTCCAGTTCATTTTACAGATAAGTAGACTGAAGCAAACAAGATTAAGTGACTTGTCCAGAGTTACACAACAGGTATCCAAGGCTGGATTTGAACTCAGCTCTTCCTGATTGCAGCCCTGGTTTTCTATTTACTGAGCCATCTAATTGCCTTACTTGCCTGCAGGTCGTTAAGAAAGTGTCTGAGACAGGGTTGCAAACTTGCACTCAGGTCTTCCTAACTCCAACTCTGATACTATCCACCTAGAAAATACACTATAAGATTCTAGGAAGTGTGTGTGTGTGTGTGTGTGTGTGTGTGTGTGTGTGTGTGTGTGTGTGATCTTTGTATCCCCCTTAGGGCCCAACACAGTGCTTTCAACACAGTATGAGCTCAGTAAATACTTGTGGGATTAATTAACATAATAATAAATGGCAAAACTATGACTAGAACTCAGCCTTCACTCAGATATCCATTCCAAAGTACTACATTGCAATACTCATCATTTTTTCATGAATTTTGAGAAATGATTCATTTGTTAGTATCTAGCCTACTCAGTAAAGGGATGTTGAACAAAACTGAATTCTAAGGAAGGAACATTTATGTAATTTTTAAAAAAATAATATACTGATGAATCACTGTTACATGAATTCCTATTATTCATATACACACACCTCCTCTTTATGATTTATTTATATTCTGGTAGCCATATACTATATCATTATAATTTTTGTGTTTCCTTTATGTTAAAAGAAATTTTTTTTTATGTTAAAAGAAATATTTTTTTTTTGATTAGGCAATGGGGTTAAGTGACTTGCCCAGGGTCACACAGCTAGTAAGTGTCAACTGTTTGGTCTGAGGCTGGATTTGAACTCAGGTCCTCCTGAATCCAGGGCTGGTGCTCTATCTACTGTGCCACCTAGCTGCTCCTAAAAGAAATACTAATATGCCTTTAACTCAATGGTGAATGTAGCAATGAATCCTCTATTGCTTCTAAGTATCACGCATACATGCTCATACTCCATTGACATCATCAAATACTATCTTCTCTGCCTCACATACTAAAATCTCCAATATATTATACTGAATGCTAAACTTTCTAAAAATAAACTAAGAAAATAGTAGGTCAGCTAGGTGGCACAGTAGATAGAGTACTGGGCCTGGAGTCAGGAAGACCTGAGTGTAAACCTGGACAAGTAGCTTAATCCTGTTTGCTTCAGTTTCATCATCTCTAAAAAGAGCGGGAGAAAGAAATGTCAAATCACTCTAGTCACTTTGCCATGAAAACCCCAAAAGGGGTTAAGAAGAGGAGGACACGAGTGGAAAAAAAAAGCCTGAACAACAACAACAAAATACAAAAGAGTATAGAAGTAAATGGATTATAATCAAGTTCCTTAATTTCTCTACCTTACATTTGCCATTAATAAAATAGGGATAAATTTAGGATTCTTTTGTAAAAATAAATGTGATGACCTATAGAATATCTCTTGAGCTGCCTTAATAAAAGTGCATTTCATTCTTTTTCTTGTTACTGTTCTGGAGGTGATGAAAACAAGAGTTAGTGGTTAAAATTCTTGGCTGTTTCTTCTCCTGTAGGATCATAGACCCCTAGATAGTGACCGATTTTAAAACCCTTGTATTACAGATGACAAAATGGAAGGACAGGGAAGTTAGGTGATGTCCAAGATTATGGAAGTTACAAGTTTTAGAGGTGGAATTTGAACCTAAATATCCTGATTTTCAGTGCCAATATGTGAGCTGACAAATGACATCAACAGTATAGGGGATTTTTGAGTCCATTTTTTTCTCAATTTATTGTCTGTGTATATACATGTGTATATAAGTAAACTTTTTAGTTGATGTGAGAGAAATGGAGACATTTCATTCCTTGAATTGCACTACTTAAGTTGGTGGGCTCATTCCAAACACTGATGGAGATAGGGAGTAGACTTGGTTCCCCATTCTTTCTCTTTTGATCTAGTATTCTTAGCCCTTGCCAGATAGTTATAACCTCTTCTCAGCACAAGTAATGACATTGGGTTAGGATGTTTGTTTATGTAGTGAAGTAAATAAAGTTTTGATCAGTCTGAAAGAATTGTAGAATTTGCTTATGAAAAAATCGACTTGATGGTAGTAACTGTATTAGATGAGTACTGTAGGTACGTCTGGAGTGATCATTCTCTACTGTTGCATGAGATGTGTCCTGCCATGACAACGCTGCCTGTATCAGTGGTTCTCAAAGTAAAGTCCAGGGACCACTAGGGATCACTGAGACCTTTTCAGGGAATCCATAACGTTAAAGCATTTTTCATAATAATACTAAATGTTTTAATTTCTAATGTGACAAAATAAATATGCATGTATTTATGTGTGTATACATACACATACATGTATTTATATGTATATATCACATATGTATATTTATATATTCCCACATATGCACTTATATATGTGTGTCTATACATATGCATTGTGTATATATACACATATATTCTACTCACAAGATCTTTTGGGTGTATTCAATAGTTTTTAAGAGTGTGAAGGGTCCTAAGACCAAATATTTTTGAGAACTGCTTTTTATCATGATGCCTACATTTGCACGTCCATAGTACTGATCTTTCAGAATAACCATAACCATAAATAATCCTTTGTCTGTCTAATCATCGCCATGTTGATGTTCATACGGATGGCTTGTCTGTCTTTCCGTCCTTCATGAATCTACCTGTCCATGTGCAGAGGGGGACAACAAAAAGGCTTGCGCTGACTTTCACAAAAATCAGGTTGCAATTTGGAATGTGGAGATTGTATAACAGTGGTGCTCTCATCTAGAAATGGTGGCCCAAATGGTGTAGTTGAAGCTCCCACCCCCCCCCACCCCCCCCACCTGACTTTGGTCATTGGTATCATGCTAATACCTTGTAAGAAGAAATTTGTTTCACATTTTAGCAGGTGATATAGCACAGTGGACAGAACACTGGCTCTCAAGTCAGAGGATCTGGGTTTAAATCCTGCTTCTGATACTTACTGCATATGTGACCTTAGCTTCCCTGGGATGAACTTTCTTCATCTTTAAAACAAGGCAGACAAGCCAGATATCCTCGAAGATCCCTTTGGCTGTACCTCTTTGATCCTGTAATCATGACTCCACCCTGAACAAGAGTTTTATTCCAATGAATTTAAACTAGTTACTGAAAAACGTCACAAAATACTGACCCATATTAACTCTATGGCTACAGGCAAGATATTTAATCTTTCAATATCCTAGGCAAATTTCTTAAGACCATAAATTAAGAGTAGTTGTTGACCTGCTTGAGTGAAAGGAGTTTCTATACAGGGAGTACCCTTCACTGATTAAATTATAGGTCCAAATCCTTACTTCCCTTATATATATTCATTTAGATTACAATATATAAATATAGGTGGAATATAGTATATACATATGATAATATAATATTTACATATATCTCTGTAGCAAGAATTGCTTAAATGATAGTTGCTTCTTAAATTTTGCTCTAATAGCTGATTCTTAACTGTTACTCGTCCTTCAAGATATTAATAATCTCTATAGTAAAATCTGAGTCCTCCAGTTTACCAGGTTAAATCTAAAAGATGTAGAATATTTAGCATGTTTTATTTATTTTAAAAATAGATCACACTGTGAGAAAATAGCCATATTTTCAAAAGTGAAAATGAACATTTTATATGGAGAAATCAATCAGTAATGTTACATAATCTCATAATGTATTCATTACCTAAGATCATAATGTATGCTTTGCATTAATTCATAATTTTCCAATTGTTTTCATACATGTTCAGATTGCATTTCATGAACTCATAGTTTTCTTGTAAGTTTGTGCTTTCTTTGCATCTTTCAAGAATCTCTTTAATTCAATTTCTCTGTTTCTCCTCATACAGTCTGGCAGCCAGATATGCAGCTCAGTCTAATCACAGTGGGATTGCAACCAGTCAGAAAAAGGCTTCTAGGTCAGTTAATATCTCTAATTTATTGCTTGTTAGTGATACTCAAGTAAATTCTCCCTTGGTCTTTTTTTTTTTTGGTCACCCTAAACTTTAAGAAATGTGTCTCCATGTTGGGGTGGGGGTAGAGAGGGACATTTTTATAATACTGAACTATGCCCATGCCAGCCAGGCCTTGGTGACCCACAATTTTGCAGAAGACAACTAGCCACCTTTGGGATCTTCCTCACACTTATTTTCATGCGAAAGTGAATTTGACTTCTCATATAGAACCAACATCAGGTGAGAAACATGAGTGTGAGAGAGTATCTTCCCCAGTCACTGATGCTTTTGGGAAATAATCCCAGATCATTTGCGACACACTTCTCAAGATTGACCACGGGCCATCATTAACACAAGTGTCAGAACAGAGAAAGGCTGACAGAGTTCTTTGTAAAGATCTCCTGTGAAGTCAGCCTGTGATCTCGTTGGAAAGTAAATATTTACTGACACGAAGTCATTAAGGCAGCTGAATTTTCCTCCTCTGCACAGGGTATGCATTTTAAAGTTGGTTCACAGTTGCTAGTCATGACAACTTGGTTTATTGCGTATTATTATAATTAGTCTTGAATATAAAGAACACTCTGAGGAGTGGAGAAGTAATATTTTGAATATACTATGCTACTGAGTACACGATAATTGACTTGGAACAGGTGAGGAAGGTAAGCACGCTTCACACCCATGTTCATTACATTAGTCTATATCTTGTTCATTGTGAGACCTCCTCAGTGGTATTTCATTGAATTAGTTAATGATCTTATTACCTAATAATGTTAACTTAAGTTCACTGCTTCTGAGGCCCAGAGCAGAGGTAGGTATTTCCCCTTTAATTTCTCTTTCTAATCTATTTCTGTCTCTTTGGTGGTGAAAATGATTTTATAGAGGACAAGAGAAAAAGAAGTTCAATGAAAAATTTAGAGTGAAACAAATTATTTAGAAAAGTGTGAGGAACAGTGTAATATATCATGTATAAGCTGTTCCTTACTGTTATTTCTGGGATGCTTGACTACAAAATATATTACATATTCTACAAAATACTTAAAATAATAGCATATTATTGATATTGATGTTAGTTAATATATTAATAATGTATTATACAATTTATTTTTGAAAATAAAATGTGTTAATTTCTGCATCTTTCATTTATCTCCTGTTCCCATTGGTGAATCCTCATAGTTTCTGAGCCACGTGTCATATTCTATTTACCAGCATGGTCTCATTGGAATAATTATAAATTCTAGGTCTTAGATGAGGCAGGCAGCCTACAGCTGATCATTCACCTGAAAGTGATAATTGAAAGAATTTGAAAATGGCTTCAGTTTTGCATATACCGTGGCCTCTGACTGGTAGTCAGTCACTAAAAAGCTATTTATTTTTATATGCATTAAAATGCCATCCCAGAAAACAAAACACAATACCTATCCCCCAAACCAAACAGAATTATAAATACATTGAAGCATGTTAAAAAGGATTTTAAGCCAATAGCTATTTGCTCTTTTATGTGTTCATTTCACTCTGTAATACAATGTTAAACTGCTTGGGGAAAAAGAAAAAAAAAACCACTTTGCATGCATTGAGAAATTCTGTGATTCTGTGGATTGAAAATGATATCAAGGTGAATTGAGATGAATATTTCAATAGCTACCTTTTTCAAAGAGTTCATATATTCAATCTTAATGTTGAAAATGCAAGGATATTTTATAAAAATGCATTCATGATAGAGAACTACCAAGAGAAAGAATAAGAAATGGCTTCCATTTATGGGTTATTGATTTTTATGATTCATTTTCTCTAAATAGTATGACCTAACAGCTCTACCCAGGAACCTTCAGATGGTGGCAGCAGATAATAGGAAATTTGCCAAATAGCCAGTAGTAGCATTTTCTCACAAGTTCTCAGAGTATCAACATTAGTTAGATTTTAATAGAACACATTTTTTCTCATTAGAAACATACATTTATTTACTAAAATGCACACATAAGTGCTGTAAAATAAGCATGATCCTGGTCCCTCATTAGGAACTAGTCAATACTTATATTTTAAAAAGGAAACTACTTAAAATAGTGTTTCAATCTGATATGTAAATACAGCTTCAACTTAATGAGGTTAGGTCAGAACATCCTAACATTCTGCACTTAATTACGGTATGTCCAAAGGCAGTGGGCAAATATTAGGACTTCTTTTTAACAACTTTTTGTAGTTCTAAATATACATGATAGTAGTTGTGCTATTAGTATTCACCAATTGAAAAAAATGTACAAAGGAAAACAATAATGTGAATTCAGAAACTTTTCAAAGGATTTGCATATTAAAATATGATTAAAAGTCATACTTGAAGAATAATAATATATATCTGTGTGTAATATTATTTATGCCTTGAAAGGAAGGTATGATTGCCAAATTATGATATTGAGTTATGCTAAATATTTTATTGGAGTTAAAGAAAGGCAACATTCCAATGGTTGGTAGACACGGTTTTACAAACTCTGATATTCCTGTGGCATGCCCAGAGACCTTGTCCCACAGGGTAGGAACTATATTGCTACAGTGGTGACAACCAAAAATGTAGTTTCATATTATACAAAGATAATTTGTTGATGGTGCTGATTTTACAAGATTCACACAGCAAGAATTTTGAGTTGTTTAAACACTGATGATAATTAATGAATTTGGGCTCATCCATACTTACTTTCCTTGTATAATTTGTGGCCAATAGAACACATGTGTGAGATGGATAACTAGACTGGGAGCATTGTTTTTTTTTTTTAACACACATGCAGATAAACAAAATTCTTCTATGAAAAACTCACTATCCAATTGAAGTTGAACATGTGCTCTTGACCTCAGAACCACGATCTAAATAATTAACTTACCTGGTCTGACTTCTTAACTAACATTTGCTATGAACAAATTGTTTTTAATATAAATTTTAGCATTTATAGCCATGCTGACTTAGGTTGTTTCTATACGATACTCCCCAAAGTTGATCAAGTCAGTGAAGAAAGCAGCAGGACAATTGGTTGTTGATTATTGTAGAAAAGAGCCAATGCGCTACATTGATTTCCTCTTTTCCAATCACGAATGGCAAAAAACACTAATGTTAGTTTAAAATGACATTTCTCCTTGCATTCCATTGAAGTACTTTTTCTTTGGATAATTTATCAGGAAGTAAAACTACAATAGTCTCGGAGAGGGAAACATTTAACCTTTTTAAAAATGCAACTCCTCTTCGAGACAGAATTCTTTTTTGTACCTGCTGGCTATAGCTTATGCCATAGCTGTTCCATCATTTCTTATCCTGCTTAGAACATTCTGTTCTTCCTGTCTTTTCTGGATACACCACAACATAATTTCGTTATGCTATTCTAGGCTTCCAGGGCCCTCAAGAGTGCCAGCTGCAGGCAGCAGTAGCAAGGTCCAAGGAGCTTCTAATTTAAATCGGAGAAGTCAGAGCTTTAACAGCATTGACAAAAACAAGCCTCCACATTATGCAAATGGAAATGACAAAGGTAAGTGTCTCACTGTCACCTCATTACAAAGATAGCCTAGCATAGTCATCTTCTGCCCCCCTCCCCAACCTGCCCCTCCATTAAATCATATGAGACTAAACATTATTTTTGATTGGTGTAAGCTGTTGGAACCGGGACATGAACTTTGGAGTTTCTCAGAGAATATTTGACCTACGTACCTGATTTTTCTTTCCTTTCCCTTCCTTTGAGACGAGCACATTCACAAAATGATGCTGTTCCTACTCTCATTTCCTTTTACTTTTAAGCTGTTCCATTTCCAACCTTTTTACGAGAAGTACCTCCAGTTAAAAACAATGGCAATCTCTCTTTCACTTTGTGTAAAAGTCAGAATTCTGTTCATATTTCTGAGTGCTGGGAAACTGGTATCTACACAATTCTTACTGGAATCTTTGACTTCATTGGGTGCAACAGAAATGCCAGGAATGTTCTCCAACCAGAGATTAAACAGCTAAAACTTAGTTGAGAATATGTTTCTATAAGCATTTACACTTGGAGACAGACAACAAATACACATATGGTATCATAGTGTTTGTTTCACTCTTCTTAACCTTCCCCCCCCTTTTTTTGGGCCATAGACCCCTTGATAGTCTGGGGAAGTCTATATACCTCTTCTCAGAATAATATTTGAAAATGCACAGAGCACGTGGGATTCCAAAGGAAACCTATTATATTGAAATAAAAATGTCTTTTTTCCAATCTGAGGTCATGAACCTTCCCTGAAAAGGGTCTGTGGACTGGGTGTTAAGAACCACTATAGAACATCATTAAGATTTTCTCTATTCTCCCTTATACTCCTCTCCTTAACCCTAAGTTATTTTAGCATAAATAATAGACTCACAGAAAAACGATGGGAAGAGCCATGTGTAAATCTTTAATTAGACAGATTAGATCTTATGTATTTAATCCTTTGAGATGTGCAAAGTTAGCATTTGAAGACGTGAAGATTGTAAACAAATTTTATTGGGAAAGTACAATGCATTTGGGTAAAGAGTACAAAGAAGTGAGACAGAGGAAAAGATTGCAGGGTGGTTCAGAGCAAAGAGTACTTCATTTGGATTCCACCGACTTTGGTTCTTAGCTCACTCTTTCACTTGTTACATGTGTTGTTGTTCAGTCAATTTTCAGTCCTATCTGACTCTTCATGACCCTATTTGAGGGTTTTCTCAGCAAAGATACTGAAGTGATTTGCCATTTCCTTCTCCAGCTCATTTCATAGATGAAGAAACTGAGGCAAACAGGGTTTGCACAGGGTCACACAGTTGGTTAGTGTCTGAGGCCAGATTTGAACTCATAAAGATGAGGCTTCCTGGGGCAGCTAAGTGGCTCAGTGGATAGAGCTCTGGCCTTGGAGTCAGGAGGACCTGAGTTCGAATTCGACCTCAGACACTTGATACTTATAGATGTGTGACCCTGGGCAAGTCACTTAACACTGATTGCCTCACCAAAAAAAGGGAAAAAAAAAAGATGAGGCTTCCTGACTCCAGGCCTGGTACTCTGACCACTGTACCACCTACCTACTCCAGCTAGGGGCAAATCTCTTAACCTCCAAGCCTGTGGTCTGCCTAAATTCATAATTTCACTCCCTCCCCATGTGAGAATAAGACTGCTGCCTTGAGATTGAATAGACTAGCTTTGGTTTTATTACATTTATTACTATGCCTGCCCCACTGCCCTGAGAGAAGCTTCAACCCTTTCCCCTTCCCCACTCCCAGCTTTCCAGCTTTCCTGTATGTTTTGTCTTTCCCACGTAAGACAGTAGTATCCTTGATGACAAGACCTGCTTTTCTTGCTTGTTTTTAAACCTGTCCCACTCCCTATGCTTAGCACAATGACTGATAAGTACTAAGCATTTAACCAATGTTCTGTTGCTCTTAGCCTCAGTTTCTCCATTTGTAAAATGAGGACATTATGTTAGATCAGGGATTCTTGACCTTTTTTTTGGATTCCTTTAGCAATCTGTCAAAGCCTAATATTCCTGTGGTATGTTGCTTGCATTCATAATTGAAAGAAATACTATATTTCAGTTAGAGGCATATAAAAGTTTTTTAAAGAATTTTTCCCATCCAAGTTCATGAACCCCTTAAAATTTATCCACAGATGTAAACCCAAGGTCAATGAACTTCATTGTAAAAATCTCTTTAAGGTCCCTCACAGCTTTATAACTACAACCCAAAGTTTATTAAAAATCGGACT